ATCCCGTCACCCCCTCTGCCACGCTCATGTCGCTGGCCAAAACCACATCGATGTCACCGACAATGTATCTGGATCCACTACCGTTACTTTCTCCGTCATTTCGAATGAAACCCATTCATCACCGGCCTGGATAGCCGAGCTCGCTAAGGCTGAAGAGCCATAGCTGCATCAGCTGAAGGGCCGCGGGTTCGAATGTTTGTGTGTCCGTATACCGTTACCGCTACCCCCAATGTTATTTACAGTGGTTTCTTTATGACATTAGTTGTGGAAAAGCGATCTTAGTAGGCCTTGCGCGTTGTGGACAAGTAGTGGTCGCTAGTAGTGATGCGACTTCGACCACAAAATATCGATGTTACCAAACATCGGTGTCCAAAATTAAAACATAGATATTAGTAATACATCGAACAAAAAAATAGATGTTTTAAAGCTGGTTTTATAAGATGTAACATAAAATTTGTGCACAACAAAAATGAATTTGAGAGACCTAGTATATCATTTAATAATTAAAAGTTAACTTATAACAGTTAAAAACGCATCCCCGTGTGCGAAACACGAAGGAAGACGGTTGTCAGGCGTCTCGTGCGAAGAAGTCTGCTCAATGAAGGCAGGGTAAATAGCGTTCGTGTGGTTCGAATAATAAATAGTGCTGCAATCGGTTATTATTTCATATTTTAACTTTTACAAAATTGTGATTAAGGAAATTTTTCATCCCGGCATAAAACACTGAACACATAAATATTTCGTTTTTCAACAATCATCGACTTTAATACATCGATGTTTACATCATCGATATTTTTATAGAAACATCGATGTTTTGAAAACATCGATATCGATGTCGATGTCGCATCCCTAATCGCTAGGTCGCCGCGACCTTGCATGCAGCACCGCTCAATCGAGCTGGCTGCGCAGGAAGCGCTCGAGGCACGAGGTTCGGCTCGGATCGTCTCGACTCGGCTCGACTCGGCTCGCACGCCAACAATGGGCGGAGGCAGCTGCGCGCAGGCGCTGGGGACGTGCTCCCGCGTGGCCCTCCTACCCCTCGTTTCGAAACTTCATTTGCGGCCGCGACTAGCAACAACTAGTTTTTTCTTTTGATCAACAGGCGTTGAACAGAAATGTTAAGAAAATGCTTTAATTGTTTGTCTCAGTTTTTTCTAAAATATAAATGACTGTGTTATCTAAAACCGCACTTTTATTTTTTATATACTGTTATATTCGCGCAGGAGTAATATGTATTTCAGTAGTATATCTACATGCTTCCGCTTTGTCTGATATTGAATAAAACTGACTAGTATTATTGAAAGAAAAGAAGACGTATTTTTTTAAGCTCTTTGCAATCGCCGAGATGTGTGTAGGTCAGTCTTTGGCAACGAAATAAATTGTCTGTACTGTAGTGAATTACAACACTGTAGTGAACTACTTGTAATAACTTTGTGCATTCAAAGATATTGTTGAGAATTAATATGCAATTAATCTTTTACATTCTGGCAGTTTTATTTGGTCCTTCTTCAGAATAAAGGTTTGTCGATGGATTATTTAAATGTGCTTTCGCAAAGTTCCGTGAGAGTTTCAAAATGCTCTGTTGAGTGGTGGCGGTGCATTGCGTAG